TTTACTCTTTAATGAATTACTTGTTTACTTTGAATGTTCCACAGGCATATTTTTGTCCTCATCTGTGTGAGAAGCTTAAAGTTTTCTTAGTGTTTGTTAATTGTAAACCATAGAAATGCTTAGAAGGAAGTACTGAAAGAAAAGTTAGGAAGAACCGGTGCATCTGTTTCAGATGGTTTGTTAGTTTGTGTGCATTATTTTATAAACTGAGAAAAACATTTCCTCAGACTTGTGGTTTTGTGAGTATAGAGCTGTCCTTCTTTAAAGGGACCATGTGCTTATATGTTAGGTGAATATTGTTGAATAAAGTAGACATGGCCTCTACCTCATAGAGCTTTTAATCAGTACAGTTAGAAGTTCCTGATACCTAATTTAAATAATCCCAGACTTTTCAGTTATCTAACACTGAATGTAATTGTTACTCATCTCAAACATTTCTAGTACGAGAAAACTGTATGTAATTAGGACACTTGGGATTAGTAATAATAAATACTCAAAAAAAAAAAAAAAACCAAAAACTAATTTGTAGGTAAAATCTACAAAGGAATGAAATGTACAGTACCAAAGCACTTTAGACATAGTCCAATATTTGTATAGACCAGGTCAGAATTCTGAGAATGCTTTAGGTGAGGAGAAAATGGGCTAAAACAAAAATCAGGATTAAAATGATCATTTTGATTTTTATCCTGGCTAAATTTTAAAATAGCCTTTAAGTGCTTAAAGATGTGGCCTCATGTAATTGGACTTAGTTTTTGGTAGCAGTTTTGCTTTCCAGTATATTTAGAATGTAATTTTTTTTTTTTAACATTGAAATGGTTTTCTTGAAACTAAAGTCTAGTAAGAGAAGCAAATCATATAAATTTAGACAGCTTTGATGAGTACATTTTCCAAATTGTTATATTATAGATTAACCCATATAGGAAGAATTTGAAATTGTAGTAAAGTAAGGAAAGTTTTAGAAGTGAAGTGAAATGTTTTTTGAGAAAAATATCAAAAATCAAGAAATATACTTACCTTTTTTGACTTTCTCCTTCAGTCTAGTTTTTATGTGGCACTGTATTTAACTCATAGGTTGATGCCCCCTTGTGGTCTCTTACCAAAATAAATAGTACAAATATAAGTGCTAGAGTTCTTATTGCATGTTAAATCATTCATTCATTCCTTTATAAAGTAATTTTGAAAAAGCAAATTATGGGGAAAAACAGTAAAAAATTATTATTCCTGTTGTCTCTATAATTTATCGATCTTACAATTTATCAAATATAATCCTTATTTTAGTTGTAGTTGGACACAATTTATCAAATTTAATTCTTATTTATTTATTTAAATTGTAGTTAGACACAATACCTTTATTTTTATTTATTTTTATGTGGTACTGAGGATCAAAGAGTACTCTACTGCTGAGCCACAACCCCAGCCCTTTATCAAATATCATTTTAACCCTTTGTAACAATATAATAGCTGGACCCTGATGTACAGAAAAATAGGTTGTTTGGGTAGATTGTTCATCATGGTCATTATGGGCATCTAACTCCCTTAATTATTACAAATTGTTAAAACTGTGATTATATGTCAGAGTGATTATGAGGTTAGCTTATTACTTCCCAGCTCTCCGCCCCCAAACACATATATTCACATATTCCCCCTCCCTCCCTCCCTTCCTCCCCTCGGGCACACATGGTATTTGTATATTTACTTATTTGGTTGAAAGGCCAGAAGAAATAAGGATTTCTACTAGTGAACTGGTGACTTTAAGCTTATTGGCTTTTACTGACATTATTGACAGTGTCTTCTTTATATTTGAGTGTTAGTTATATAAGGAGGAAGTGGAGGAGAAACAGCAGCAGCAATCAATGTTTTAAGAAAGATTATAGATGTAAACAACTGCCTTTCTTTTATTCAGTAAGTTTTGTCAGGGTTGGAAACAGTCTAATACAAAGGGGTATGGACTTTGAGATTTTAAAGATCGGGTTTTACAACTGATTTTCATCTCCTACCAGTTTTTGGACAGTTGTATAATATTGGATAAACTACTTTATCTCTGAATACAGGTTTCTTCTCTTTAGAAAGAGGTTAAACCTAACTCATTGAAATGTTTGCAGCTTCATATTTATCATTTGAAGTCTTGGGATAGACCATCGTTCTTCTAAATCCTAAAAGGACACTTTGGAGATGTAAAGAAAATATACCATATAATTTTGTAGCTACTTTATTGTTGATAAGTACTTCCAATGATAGTTTGTATTTTAAAAAGTGGTGAATCGGGCCATAGTTTTGTTTCTTTATCATGGATACTTATTGCTGTAGTACTACAAATTCTTGACTTACAATCATTATATTGAAGAATTTCCTAGGTCAATTATTTTAATAGTATAAGCCTATTAATCAAATTATTTTTTATAAAAATGATGCAGAAACTTTTTTTAAAAAAAGAATAATATTTGAAAATTTTGATAGAATTATCTTTAAAACAAAACTAGTATTGTTCCTTTATAGCTATCTTTGTTTTGTGGAAGTAAACAGAGCAATGAAATGTTTTTTGTTTTTTTGCTTTGTTTTTCAACAGTTGTTGATAGAACCAGAATCACTATCTTGTGGTCACTTCATTTAATAATTAAAAGAGTTACTCTGAATTCTCTGTCAGAAGAAGCAAGATACATTGGAATTTACTTCACAGATAAAGAAGGTGTTTTGTTTTGTTTTTTAAACCCAGGTACATTCAACTTTGAATCATATAATTTTTCCTAAAATTTTCTTTGGCAGGTTAAAATCATCTCAGAATATAAGTGCAACTGTAGAGTTTAAATACTTTTTGAAAATTGGTAAACCATAAATTGTATAAAAATATAATAGTAGACACACCATCAGAAGGTTATTCATTTATTTTCATATCTGTCTTTTTTTGTTCCCCTTCTTTCTAATTTCTAAAATATTACATCTGTGGTCTGCATTAATGCAGTGTCTCTGATGTTAAAGACATCCAATAAATACTTTAAAGACAACAATAAATACTTTAAATATAAAGCAATATTTTGATAGTGGAAGTTTCTCGTAAACTAATGAAATGGATTTTTGTTGGTCTACTCTTGAGTATCTGTTCCTAGGGAGACTATTTTAGGAAAGAAAAGGGATCGGGGGAGTAGAGGAAAGGATGGCTAGAACAAAGTGGAAAATAGACTGTGTGTGTGGGGAGTGATGGCAAGAATACATGCCATCCTACCAGAGACTTGTTTTTAAATATAAAAAGCATATGTGCCAAATTTACATATTTACTAATTAAAAAGGCTTCCTGGAAACATTAAGTAGACTATCTTCTATAACCTTTAACACCGTCACTAATGGATATAGCCTAGAAAATTTCATCGAAGGTCCTTTAAATAATGTAAATGATTATGAATATGTAACTAGTTAATATGCAGCTATGAAAGGATTATCATGTAGAGGTTAATGAACATTCTGCTCTTATGGTTTGCAGGGCTTTTCTTTTTGTGCTTTTGGCTCACTTCATGCTTGGAAACACATGCATTGGTATTGGAAAACATCCTGACTGTTTTGGGTCTCATTTTTTAATGGGGCTGTTAAATAGGAACTTTATAAAATGAATTTCTTGAAGATTTTTTTCTTTTTTTAATTTACATTTAATTCTGTTTGTCTATTTTATAATTACTGCCAAATCAGAAACAGTGAAATAGATTGATGTAGTTTTAGCTTGGCTTTTCCAGATGTAAAGTCAGTACTCTATTATATAGTACCACTGTTATTAAGTGTTGCTATGTGATTGATACTTACTAAGAGATCTTCATTCTAAAACGGACTTTTTATGCTGAGTTAATGTGTAGTATGGTTGGGTATCTGATTACAGCATGTATTTTGGTACAGGATTACTGCCTTAGTATTTAAAATGTACCAAAGAAGGACATTTATTTCAGGAATTAAATGTTATAATAGAGGAATTTAGTGACAAGTCAAAAAAAAATCTCGTGATTTTTGGTTGCAACATTGAACATAGCCAATATTGGTATTTAGAACTAAACTAGAGCAGTGGGTTGCAAACCAAATCATAACTGCTGTCTTTTTCACGTGACCTTAGCATTTTGGCTTTTATTCCTTAGTTTCTCTGTCTCTAAAATGGTGCTGTGGTATGCTAGATTACTATTTAAAATTTTTATTAATGGGTGATTTAAAATTAGGTGATTATCAATCTGTAAAAATAATATTAATTTTAAAAGTGTGATTCAAAAATAGTGCTATTTTAAAATTTATATTTTTCCTCATTAGGGTTTTTGTTTTTGAGCATTTTGAGAATCTGTTACAATATCTCAAAGGAAAAAAATAACATTTGTTCTTAATTCCATGGTTTTAGTATTATAAACCTAGTTTAAACTGGCTGTGAAGTGCTTAAAATTTTATCATAATTCACTGGGGAAAGAATGAGCTGTTCAGAGCAACTCTTTATCCTAAGTATTTCTTCTTGAAATGTAGTAGAAAAATATCACTGAACTCATTTTTAATGCATCAGAATAAAAATTACAGGTGAAAACATTTGGAGATATACTGACAAAATAAAATATTTTCACTACTGTCATTTTTTTTTCTTTTTTTTTTACTGATGAAATGTGAATGTTACATTGGTTTCTAGTTATTTATAACATTTGCGTATTCTACAAAATATGTAACAGTGAAAACAGGTCTGTAGATTGTACAAAATACTAGTTATCTTATATCATATGTCACCTAATAGTTATGAAGTGAGTTTTGTACCAAAGTATGAATTGGAAAGCTGTAATTTGTTCTGCAGTTATCAGCCTGCATTAGAGGGTTATGATAAAGTGAACTGCTTAAAAACTAACATTCACATCTCTGTGCATTTGACAAATAAAAATGTATGCTGAAATGCTATTAAATCTGTAAAGCTACTGTTCTAGTTTTCTGATAGACTATTTTTGTTACTCTTTGCATAGCTCTGTTTTTTCATGAATAGTTATCTGTTTTTATGACAGGTGGTCACTAACTGCCAAGAGAAAATCCAGCATTGGTGAGTGAAAGATGGTTTTATTATATTTCTGAAATACTGTTGGGGTCACCTACTTGTATTTAAAAAATGTGCGTACTGGTTTTGTGTGTGACTGTGAGATCAGTAATTGAGTTCTTCTAGTTATCTCCATTTTGGGTAGCTTTGATATTAATTTGTATATTTTTATCCTTTTCTGAATTACATATTCCCTGATTTCTTGAAATTGTTACATTTGTGTTTCTCCATTTTAAAAAATGTTAGAATAATATTAATATCATGAAGTATAAACTTAGTCATATTTGAACGTAACTGGTCACAGAGAGCTCTGAGTATTTTCTATATTGCTAGTAGAAAAATAATTGGGATCAATTGTTTTAAAATAATGATGGAAATATGGCACAGATAAATTTTTTGAAAGTTTGAAAATAGAATTTTCTATATTTCAGAACTTGTTTTATGGACTGCACTTTTTTAGAGAGAAAGAAAGCATATCTATTAATGTGTTAATGTATAGTTAACAGGACAATGTTTGGTAAATAACATATTTCCTTTTTCTTCTGAGGAAAATGCTCAATTTAATAGTGAATAAAATCTTATATTTTGAGTTGTCATGAGATATAGCTGTTGATCTTACAGATATCAAATTACAATATATCCATGCTGTGTTTACGAAGATTTTACTGAGAGAACAACAGGAGCTGTCTTGATTATTGTCTGCAGGGTTATTGCAAAATCATGGTAACTGCCCCTTTAGTAGTGAGATTAAACCTTCGGTTATACACCATCAAGCATATAATATTTTAAATTTATTTTAAGAGGCTTTTTCTTCATGCCTGAGAGATCTCCAAGGAAATAATTTATAGTTAGTGTATATCAAATGTTTTTTGGTATAAATGCACATGGTCTGCAAGCAGTGGATAAGAGTAAAAATCAGTGCAATCTGTACACATCATCTTATTAAATTTTGACTATTGGCTTGCAGAAAATAATCTAAAACTAATGATATCCACTTTATAAATAAAAATTCAGGACTTCATTAATTTTCAATAAATGCAGCATTGTAGTTGCATCCATGGTGGTGTAAGTCTGTCAACATTTCCATAAATGGACTATTCGTTTTTCATTATACATTCAGTTCAGGTTAAAATGTGAAATGCAAGTCCTTGGCCAAAGAATGCTTTTCTCTTGAAAATTTGGCTAAAGCGATTCATTTTAAAAATAATTCTCAAGGGACATTTTATTAATGTGAACTTCTGTCAGTTTTGGCAAGGGGTTAGGAAATTAGAAAAGGATCTATTAGAACAGATACCAGCTTACATAAATATGTAAGTAATAACCTGCTTCTGGTTGTTTTTTGTAAAATCCTTCCCTATTAAGAGAGTTCTTTAAGAATAAAATGCACATGTTTTTATCGTATTATCCACAGTTCCTTCTTATTTGGCACGAAATAGGCACTTAATGAGTGCTTGGATAAATGAAGATGAAATATATAGTTTTTTTTTTTTTTTTTTTTACCTACCATTTTAGTTTAAAAATGGTTTTAGCAGTATACAATCCTGGTGAACAGTGACATGTAAGAAGTAAGAGCAGGTTCATGTGACCCTATCTCACATTCTGAAGCCTTCCATATTTGCCTAAACACATCTTAATATCATACCTTATCTGTACATTAACAATTAAAATTATTTTTTTTTTCAATTTACATTTGCTTCTTCCTTTAATTACTTCTGATATGGCTTATGGAATAGACTTTCTGTTTGCTTTATATTTATTCATGTACAGATGGATCATGTAAATATTCTATCAATATTGATAGAATCTAAATGGCCAGTGAACTCATCAGTTTATTATGTTCAAAAATTAAAACCAAAGTGTTTCCATTCTTTTGAGAGCCAGGAAATTGTTATTTGGGAGCTTTGTGGGATTCTTCTGATATATTTACATTGTTTTAATTCCTCAAACACTCATTGAGTTCCTTCCCCATTTCAGTATTGTGCTATTTGGAGTTGAAAGAATCTGCCATGGAGGGATTTATAGTCAGGTGCTAAACAGAGAAATCACAATAATTTTGTGCTACTTGCAGAGATATGAAGCAAATACTGAGGGAGTTGAGAGGCTAGAGCCATTCCTAAGCATGTCTCACATACTATTTTTAAAAACATGTTATTTTTAATTCTTCTTTGACTCTTGGTGTTAGCCCAGTCTGAAATACAATTGTGTAGCTAAGCTTGCTTTTTTTATGTATATATATCAATATAACAAGGGAGAGCAAAATATATGAAATAAACAATTCATTCTTTTGCTAGTGGTATATATGCTTGTTTGTACAATTTTAAAGGATTCTTTTATTTAAGGGACAAGTAATGTATAATCTAGGCTTCAGAAATAATTTTGATTTTTTTTTTTTTTTTTTTTTAAAAAACATAATAGGAAGTAAAAGTATTTATAGAAAAGTATGAGTGAAAATGGTCTGGGACCACAGGACCTGCCCAGAAAAATCTCTTCCATAAAATTAAATCAAATTCTAAAATGGTGGTGAACCAAGAAATTTATAGTATTTGTTTATTTGATAATAACAGATTAAAAGGAAGTTTTTGAGCCTAACAGATGAGAATTTGTTCAACACTATTTTAGAGCTAATACTTAATACTGGTTCTTATAAAATTTTTTCCCCTTAACTCAGATAAGGTATAGTAAAATCTAAACACATTTTCTCATTAAAATGTGAGTGTGTATCCCATTGTTTGTTCACTAGTGGTTGATTATTCTGTTTGTGGATTATTTTTAATTTTTAATTCTTTCTCAAAGAAAGTGGAATTTGAAGTCAATGGGAACTGAACATATGTAAGAAGAAACCATGTATCATTTGTGCCCTTTTATATATCTTAAATTTTGAAAGAAATGTATTGCCTAATTAAATTTTTTTTGCTTAAATCTTAATGTATAGTCATTTTTAATGTCTTAAAGATACATGCTACATTCGAATCCTCTCATTTATTAACTTTGTAACCTTGGGCATTTATACCAAGTGTTTTATTTTCCTTGTAAAATGATGATGCCATGTAACTCACAGGGTTGTAGTGAACACCAAATGAGGTGATGTCTAGAAACTACCCAGCCTGGCATTCAAGTATTATTATTATTAAAATTTTTTTTTTTAGTTATACACAATATCTTTATTTTGTTTATTTACTTTTACGTGGTGCTGAGGATTGAACTCAGTGCTTGACATGTGTGAGGCAAGCACTCTGCCATTGAGCCACAACCCCAGCCCTCAGGTATTATTAATAACACATACATAAACAAAAATGCCTGTTTTGTAAATATTCATGAATATTTTATATTTATGCTTGTTACTTTTTTGTCATGGTATGGAATTGACTTTCTGAGCATTATTGTTACAACATTATATGAATATTTTTAAGTAACTTTTTGTTATGAAAAATTTCAAACAAAAGGTGACAGTGATTCTCAACTTCAATAATTGTCAACTCATGTTTTTTTTTCTGGACTTTCATTTAACATCCCGTCCTATCTATCATCTACTTCCAGTTATTTTGAAATGAATCTAATTAGTATTCTGTTTGGAAATACTTTAGCTTTATATTTCAGAGATAAAAATGACTGACTATACAGGGCTGGGGTTGTAGCTCAGTGTTAGAGCACTTGCCTGGCATGTGTGAGGTGCTGGGTTGATTCTCAGTACCGCATATAAATAAATAAAGATCCATCAACAACTAAAAAAACATTAAAAAACTTAAAAAATGATTGTACATTAATGTAAGAGTTAAGCAAATTTTTAAAAATTAGGCAATACTTTTGTATTTCAAAATTTAAGCTTCCACAGCCTCCTACACTCTGCCGCCCTGCTGCTACCATGTCTCTAGTGATTCCTGAGAAGTTCCAGCACAGTTTGCCAGTACGCAACATAAACATTGATGGGCGGCAGGAAATAGCCTTTGCCATCACTGTCATTAAGGGTGTTGAGGAAAACAAGACACTGACCTCACCAAGAGGCTGGAGAATTCATTGATGGTGAGGTTGAACGTGTGATCACCATTATGTAGAATCCACGACAGTACAAAATCCTAGACTGGTTCTTGAACAGATAGAAGGTTGTAAAGAATGGAAAATTCAATCAGGTTCTGGCCAATGGTCTCGATAGTAAGCCCCAGGAGGACTTGGAGCAACTGAGGAAGATTAGGACCCATAGGGGGCTGTGCCAATTTTGGGACTTTTGTATCTAAGGCCAGCAAACTAACACAGCTGGTCACATGGCCACACCGTAGGTTGTGTCCAAGAAGAAGTGAGTCTGTAGGCCTTTTCTGTTAATAAATAATTATATACCTTTAAAAAAAGGGGGGGTGCTGGGGTTGTGGCTCAGTGGTAGAGAACTTGCCTAGCTCGTGTGGGGCACTGGGTTCGATCCTCAGCATCACATAAAAATAAATAAACAAAATAAAGGTATTAAAAAAAAGGCTTAAAAGGGTGCAAATGATATGGTTTCTTTCTACCTTTGTTCAGTTCTCATTTTCCTTTTCTGGAAGCAACCATTTTTTACAAGTTTATCATGAATCTTTTCAGAAATTGTTTGCATACGGTAGGTATATGTGTGTGTGTATTCATCCACATGTTTAGATTAATTTATTCCCATCCTTTCGGATAAAAATGAAATTGGACTGTGTACTGTTAATTTGATGCTGTATGTTGGAGATTGTCCTCAGATAATTAACTTTCTATTCACATAAAGTTCATTGTGTCATGTGTCAAACTTTTAAGGGTCACCAAATATAATTTGGTAATAATTTTTTTCTTAATAAATAATGGCCATATCATTGTAAGTATATAGTGTCTTAAAAAAAAAAAAAACTTTATTTGTGCCTGATGCTGTGTTGTACATTGAGCTGGGCTCACCTGTGTTCGTTTTCTGGTAGTGTTGTCTAGGCTCACTTATTTGGCTGTAGCCATTTGGTAGGTGGATCATCAGGGTTGTTAAAAATGGCCTTACTCCCAAGTCTGTG